GGTTAGAGTACCAGAAATAGGGCTTATCCATTAATCAAAATCTAGGGCATATGTACAATCTTACTGAGTAAAAGTCAAATCATGATTTTTTTTTTTTATTATTCTTTAAAAATCAGGATCTGACAGACACAGAAACTGTAACAACATGCAAGGCAGTGAAACAAATTAAACAAATAAGTGAGAAAATAAATACAAAAAGTGAGGAAGAGAAATGATAAAACATGAAAATAAAATATGTTAGAATAAAATAAATAATAATAGGACAAATAAAAGAAAAGTAATTGACGATGGAATATAAAATGAAGTAATGGCAAATTGATAGACTAGATGATGACTTAGTGGGTTAGTGAGGTGATCGATAGATAAAGGCTAGGCCTGTGTGTTAAAAGTTTAATGAGTATTAATATATTTAGTGACTTATTAATAGAATAAATGATGACTTAGTGAGTTAGTGAGGTGATCAATAAGTAAAAACTAGTTCAGTAATGATGAAGTTTTCTTAAGTGCTAATATGTTTGAGGTGTCTTGTGATGAAGGTCTTTTCCTGGTATGTAGATTGGGTGGCGACTTGATATTTATGTTTGCGCTGACGAAGGTTGTGTGTTGTACTTTTGATTGGTAGTAGTGGAGGATGGATGACGTGGTTGTTGTTATTTTCTATTTTCTTGAACAGCCTTGAATCGAGTGTGTTGAATATCTGAGTGATGGTAGGATATGATGCAGGTAGGTAGTTGAATCGAATTAATTTTTTGATGAGAGATTGTAGCTGCTGAAGTTGTTGTTGCTTGGCAAAACCAGACCAGGAGGGAGCTGCATATTTGATGCGTGAGATGATGAGTGATTCGGTGATGTCGAATAATTTGATGCCTCTGAGACCATGTGAACGGAGTGTTTTGAGTGCGTGAAATGTTTGAAAGCCTTTTGTGATGATGTAATTGATATGAGGTGCTATATTGAGTGTGGAGATGAATGTTATGTGATTTTTTACTGTTATGATTAAAAGATTTAGAGAAAAATTAACTTAATCTAATGTCTGCCAATTTTATCATTTTTATTATAATAAATTAATAATAATTAAAATTCAATGAAAATTTTTTTCACAAAGGTTCTGGCAAAACTACATTGCTCAATTACATTCTAACAGAGCAGCATAACGTGAAGATAGCTGTCATCCTCAATGAATTTGGAGCCGGTGTGTGCGTGCGTGTGTGTGTGTGCGCGTGCGTGCGTGTGTGAGTTATGTGATGGTACGATGGTTAAAGCGGCTGGCAATGTGTATGTTTGTTATCTCTGAGAGTTTATTATGAGAGAATAATAATATAATTATAATATAATCATAAATATATACTATATATATATTATATATTATATCATATATCATAAATATATATAATATGTATTATAATATAATAAAAGAATTATAATTTATTTTACTTTACTTTTTTCCGTGTTTGTAGGTAGCGCTTTAGAAAAGTCGCTGGCAATCGGGGAGAATGGCAAGTTGTACGAGGAGTGGCTCGAACTCAGGAATGGCTGTATGTGCTGCTCTGTCAGGTTGGTCGGCCACTTGATTAGGGAAGTTAGGGAAAATTATTGTTATTACTATTATTATTATTATTACTACTACTATTAATAATAATATTATAATTATCATTATTATATATTATTTATTATTGTTAAATAATACTGCTACTGCTGACAACAGCAATAATAATAATAATAATTTTGTTATTTTTATTTTTTTTTTCTCAAAGAGACAACGCTGTAAAAGCCATTGAGCTGTTGATGGGAAAGAAGGGCAACTTTGATTACATCCTATTGGAGACCACCGGACTGGCCGATCCAGGTCCGTGGAATGAAAGAAGAAATGGACGGACGAGTGAATGGATGAATGAATAAATGGATGATGGGTGGATGGATGGGTGGGTGGGTGGATGGATGAATAGATGGATGAATAGATGGATGGATAGACGGATGGATGAATAGATGGATGGATGGGTGGGTGGGTGGATGGGTGGATGGATGGACGGATGAATGGTTAAACAAATGAACGGATAGATAAATGTATGGATGAATCAATTGAATCATTCAAAACTACCTGGATAGTGAAATGAAGGAATGAATGAATGATGAATGAATGAATAGATGGATGGAAGGATTATTCACTGAAGTGAATGAATAAATATGGATGAATGAATACATATCGAAATTGATTTTATGAAAGGAATTGTTTCATTCATTAGTTTGTCTGATCATTCGCTTTTCACTCACTTATACATTCCTTCATTCAATCACTCATAAATTTAATTTATCATTAATTAATTAATTTATCATTAATTAATTCATTCATTCAGGGCCCATTGCCAACATGTTCTGGTTGGATGACGAACTGGGTAGTCAAATATATCTCGATGGTATTATTATTATTATCATTATTATTACTACTACTACTACTACTACTACTACTACTACTACTACTACTACTACTACTACTACTACTACTACTAATACTTTTACTACTACTACTAATACTACACTACTACTACTACTACTACTACTACTACTACTACTACTACTACTACTACTAATACTTCTACTACTACTTCTACTACTACTACTTCTACTACTACTACTTCTACTACTACTACTTCTACTACTACTACTTCTACTACTACTACTTCTACTACTACTACTTCTACTATTACTACTGCTGCTGCTACTACTACTACGACTGCTACTACTATCAAAAATAACACGGATGATTGTGGCAATGGTGATGATGCCAGGAGAGACGGAGATGATGATGATGATGATGATGACGATCTTGGTGAGCGTGGGAACGATGAACTTGAGAAGATTCTACGGCTCGTCAAGTAAATTATTTTTATTCTTTGCTGATAATCATTATAATAATAATTATTATTATTGTTATTATTATTGTTGTTGTTATTATTATTATTATTGTTATTAAACATTTCTTTGTTTTGATTTGATGAAATAAAAAATGTCAAATTGTTGTTATTAACACTTCATAACCAGTTTGAATACATTAACGAATTTGAATAAGTTATTAATTTTAAGATAGATTGCGTTTAATACTATGAATGAATGAGTGAATGAACGAATGAGTGAATGAACGAATGAATGAACGAATGAATGGGTGAGTGAATGAACGAATGAATGAATGAACGAATGAATGAACGAATGAATGAATGAGTGAATGAACGAATGAATGAGTATGAATGAATGAATGAGTATGAATGAATGAATGAGTATGAATGAATAAATGAGTGAATGAATGAGTATGAATGAGTGAATGAATGAATGAGTTAATAGGCTAATTCAAAATTGCTAAGATGACTGATTAGTTGGCAGGTTGAACGCGTTCATTCCAGCTATTGCAAGCTGTTTCGTGTGAAATAAAAATAGCATTGATGATTTTAAACTGATGAGTAATAATAATAATAATAATAATGATGATGATGATGAAGATGATGTTGAGTTTTTTTTTTATTATCAAGGTCTTCTAGGCCGAATTTAAGTAAAATAAAAAAGTTAAATACGCTTTTTTAAATTAAAAATTTATTTCCAGGTCAATTAATAGCACGGCAAAAATATTAACATCGTCCCATAGTAAGTGAGTTGTGATGATGATGATAGCGATAATGATGAAAATGATAGCGATGATGATGACGATTGTGATGATGATAGCGGTAGGTAATATATGATGATGATAGCGGTAGGTAATGAGGATGATAGCGATGATGATGATGACCGGTAAGTCGTCAACTGATTCCAACCCTAACCCTAACCTGTGAGTACAATCTTTCAAAATCATCGTGCGTAACTCTAAAAGAGCAGCCAGAATATCCCCAAACTGGTCGTCTTCTTCGTCACTATGATGACATTTCTCCATGCGATGACTTATCGATGGATGATACCAAAGATATTTTATTAGAAAAATTGTTGATGTAACTGATTAGTTGGCAGGTTGAACGCACTCATTCCAACTATTGCAAGTGGTCTTGCGTGAAATATTCACACAAATCATTCGCTCATTCATTCACACATTCACTCACTCATTCATTCATTCGTTTATTCACTCATTTATTCATAGTTGAAACGCAATCTATCTTAAAATTGATAACTTACTCTTTAGAATAATATCACAATATCAGTGCTATTGTCATCAAAATCATCTTTGCTTGATTCGCTCCAGACTTCCATCTTGAAAGAACTGCTCCATTTTTGCTCCAGATGATCAATATATATTTGTTATTATTGAAATTTTTGGTAATTTATTCTATTTTTTATAGTGGAATTTTTTTTGACCACAGGGTAAACCTAGATGATATACTAAACCTAAATACGTTGATGCTGGCTCCCAAGAGGTAACTTTTTACATATGTATTCGTTGAATCCACAAGCAATTCATTCATTCATTCATTTAATGTTTCTTTTTTTCATCCATTCATTTGCAATTTTTTACATCTTTTGAATAATGAATTATAATTATAGATATTGTAGAATGAATGAACGAATGATTGAACGAACGTCCTACCGAATGAATGACCGAGGGATGAATGACCAAGCGACTGATTGAATGAATGAATGAGTGATGTGCGAACGAACGAAAGGATGAATAATAATTTTTCTTATAAAAAAATGATATTTGTTATTATTTACAGAAACGACTTGATGAGAAAAGAAGTCATTCACACCAAAGTAATTATGTTTCTTCTTGTCTTAGCCACAACTACAACTACTCGCTACCACTTCGGCTGCTACTTACTGTCGCTACTACTGCAATTACGACTACTACTGCTGCTTTTACTACCACTACTACACTACTACTACTAGCTACTACTACTGTTGCTGCTACTTTTACTATTACTACTACTACTGCTACAACAACAACTACTACTACTAATACTACTACTTCTACTACTTCTATTACTACTACTGCTGCTTCTACTACTACAACTTCTACTACTACTACCACTACTACTACTATTATCATCACCACCACCACTTCAAGGGCATACGATCAGTGACGGTAGAATATTCGAGAAACGTTGACAAGCAGCTGCTCGAGAACTTTCTCCAGCAGCTTCTGTGGGAGAAAAATATCGAGAGTTCATCCAACAAGAGACACATGCGTGTTATCCGGATAAAAGTACGCTTTAGACGCACACACACACACACGCACACATACATACACACACACACAAGCCCACATACATACATACACATACATACATATATACAAACACACACACACATACATACACATAGCTCCCTCATAGCTTTTATCAACAAGGGGACCATACATACACACATACATAGACACACATACAAACACACATACATACACACACATAGACACACAAACAAACAAACATACATATAAACATACAAAGGGAGTGTTATCGATAGAGAGCGAGGAACATCAAGTACTGCTGCAGGGCGTTGAAGAAATTTACGAACTCAAACATACCAACGTCCCCTGGGCTGGGGATGATGGTAATGATTTTGATGATGATTTTGATGATGGTGGTGATGATGACGATGGTGAATGACGGTGATTTTGATGATGATTTTGATGATGACGATGATGATGGTGGATTTTGATGATGATGGTGATTTTGATGATGACGATGATGATGATTGTGATGATGACGATGAGGATTTTGATGTTGATTGTGATGATGACGATGATGGTGGTGATTTTGATGATGATTGTGATGATGACGATGATGGCTGTGATGATGATTAATACGATGATAATAATAATAATAATAACATTCTTTGAAACAGTTCGGGTGACTAGGATAGTCTTCATTGGCCTAAATCTCGACCTCGGTGTCCTCAAGTCATGCGTTGAAAGTTGCCTGATTGGTTGATAGATTGGGTGGCTGATCAGTTGTTGATTGATTGATTGAATGGTTGATTGATTGATTAGTTGTTGACTGGTTGGTTGATTGATTGGATGGCTGATTAGTTGATTGATTGATTGGATGTTGATTGTTTGATTAGTTGTTGACTGGTTGGTTGATTGATTGGTTGTTGACTGGTTGGTTGGTTGAATAATTTGATTGATTGATTGGCTGAATGAGAAGATGAATAACTATTTGATTGATCTGTCATTTGGCTGATTGATTGATTGATTAACAGTTTCAGATAATAATTCAACAACTCACCTATGACCAATCGCTTGATTGGTTTAATTATTTAACGAACGACTGAATGAACAAACAACTAAATAAATGAATGAATGATTGATTGAGCGTGGGTAGTTTCAGTTCCACTTCCTGTCTTTTTTCTATTTTAACTCACAATAATAAAAAAAACACAAGACATGCGATTTTAAAAAAATAAAATCTTTGTAAAAGCAGTCCAACTCGTGATTTTATCACCAACAACACAACATCATCAAAAGCATGTCTTCCATGTTTAGCCAGCCAAATACCGTGTCAATGCCAGTAGCCACCGACCACAAAATCGTTTAGAAGCTACGGCGTCCGAGGCTACGGAAAGCAACCAATCACAATCTATCCATACAAATTTTTATTCACCATGAATGACAACACTAATAAGATAACATCATATATATATATATATATATATATACATATATATATATATATATATATATATATATATATATGTAATGTTAAAAAGAAAATATTAAAAAAATCTAAGACTACTATATATATACATATATATATTGTTTGTAACTATATATATATGTATGTGTGTGTGTATGCTTGTATGTGCGTGTGTGTTCACTTCGTCTATTCATTCACTTGTAATATAAAATGAATGAACGAAAGAAGAATGAATGTACGTATGAATGAGTGAATGTAATTAATGGTTATTATTATTATTATGGATATTATTATTATTATTGTGGTTATTAGTATTGTTATTAATGTTACTTATCATTCTTACTAACTTCACAAATGTCATTTTTTTTGCTCAAATTTCATTATAACTAGCAGTTGAAATAGCCAATGAATGTCTTATTAACATTATCACCATTATTATTATTATTATTATTATTATTATTATTGTTGTTTTTTTTTTGATGGTGGCGGCTGTTTGTTAAATTAATTCCGAACGATATACTAAGAGATGATTAATCAATCAAAAAAAATAAATAAATAAACGAACACAAAAACAAAAAATTAATAACAATAATAATAACAATAGCAACAATAATAAAAAAAAATATTTCTCCTCCAAGATCATTTCAACTGATTAAAGAAGAGCAATCAATCTTTAATATAACCAGCAATAATGTAAGAGAAATTTTAATTAATTAATCAATCAATTAATTAATTAATTCCTTATTCTTAATTAATTAATTAATCAATCAATTAATTAATTCCATTTTCTCATTTAACTGGCTATTAAAAACGTATAATATATATCGTCCAATCATAATAATAATAATTATTTTACTTAAAATAGTAATAGTTATTAGCTATGTAGTTAATTATTAGCTATGTAGTTCAAAACACACATACACACACACACACAGATATATATATATACATACATATACTTAAATATATATATATACATATATATATATATATATATATATATATATATATATATATATATATATACATACATACATACATATACATTGGTGCATTCATGTATTTACAGTTAAGATTAATAATATTATAGATAGCTATACTAAATCAATTTCTGTACAGTAAGAACGCTGTAGAAAATAAGAAAAATAATTAATAATAGTAATATAAACAATATTAAATATGTATATAACCTTTCCTTAAAAAGCGGTAAAAATTATTGAGTAAAAATTACTACTGTGTTAGTTAGTCAGTTATTGTAAGTGTGTCTTTGTGAGAGTTCGTGCGTGTGTGAGTTCACGTGTGTGTGTGTGTGTGTGTGTACGTGTGTGTGTGTGAGAGAGAGATAGAGAGACTTCGTGTGTGTGTGTGCGTGTGTGTGAGAAAGAAAGATACTTCGTGTGTGTATGTGTGTGTGTGAATTCGTTCGTTCGTTCGTGTGTGTATGTGTGAGAGTTCTTGTGTGTGTGCATGTGTCCTGTTTTGATAGCAGGACAGAATAAATAATTTGGATAGTAAAGATGGTGCACTTAAAGGCCAACAGAAAAAAAACACAAACTTATAATTACAAATCGTTATAAATACGCACACACACTCATACACACACACATACACACACACACACATATGCCTACACACACACATGGGCATAGATACAATTCAAACGAGAAATATGAAACAGAGCATAATGAAAAAACTAACAGTCACCTATCAATTATAACGGCTAACCAATAAAATTAATTATAGTTATATAAATATATTACATATATATATATATATATATATATATATATATATATATATATATATATATGTATATAATGTATTAGAGAAAGAGAAAAAGAGATAGTGAGAGAGAAAGAGAGAGAGTGATAATCATAATGATATTGAAACACATTAATTCATCTGATGAATCTTATAAATTCTATAATAAAAACCTTGCAGTGAATGCGATTATTAGTCATCTGACTAGAAACATTTAATTTAATATTAAAAATAATAATTATAATATATAATATATAAATAAATAAATATTATAATATAATAATTATAAATACATAAATTTAAAGTGTGTCTTAAGTAAGTAAGCTGACGGGTAGGTTCAATAGTAAGCTAAACAGGCGAAAGAAGAGTTTAACGCTATATTATTAACGATATTACAAATTACATGAAATATAAATAATAATAATAAATAATAATAATAATAATAATAAAGAACAATAATAATAATAAATCAGAAAAAAAACATTGGTCCTTAGGGTTATATATTCATATATATATATATATATATATATATATATATATATATATATATACATATATATATATATATATATATATATATCCATCTCTCAATCAATTATATATTATATATATATGTATATATATATATATATATAAGTGTGTGTGTGTGTGTGTGTGTAGGTGTGTGTGTATGTGTAGGTGCGGTGTACTCGAATAATATAAATAAAAATAATATAAAGATGAACAGCGATAAGTAACAAGACAACAAAAACTACGACACGCTTAACGACAAATAAATTCAATAAGAATAACAATAATTATTATAATTATTATTATTGTTGTTGTTGTTGAATTGTTGTTATTATTATTGTTGTTGTTGTTTACCGCGATCATCATTGTCATCATAATTTTCCAATCAGAACAACAAAAAAAAAGAAGCAAGTTAACAAAGAGTGGTGAAAAAGAAGCGATATATACAAACTAATCAAAATGAAACAACAAATATGGGCTCAAATCATTATATACATTTGTTTATATATATATATATATATATATATATATATATATATATATATATATATATGTATGTGTGCGTGTGTGTGTGGTGCGTATCTATGTCTAAGTTTTTATAATAATATATTTTTATCCTTTTATTTTGATTGGAGGAATAAGACATAGCTGACACGCATGCTGTCTGGTCGTGTAAATTTATCTATGGTATGATTGATTTACCAAGAGAATTGATTGATTGATTAGATTAGAATGATTGATTGGATTAGAATGATTGATTGCACTGATTGATTGATTGGTTAGATTAGAATAATTGATTGATTGATTGATTGGATTAGAATAGAATGATTGATTGATTGATTGAAGCCAATGACAGATTGAATAATTTCTTGATTTAGTGAATGGATTCATTGGCTGTACTGATTGATTGATTAATTCATCCATTGATTATAAACTGATTAGCAATCATTCATTTATTCATTCATTCACTCACTCGTTAATTCATTCATTAGTTCGTGTAGCTAGCCTTTAAAACTTCAACTATAAAAATAACATTTATTTCTAAGATAATTATTACTATAATATAATAAATGTAAATATTTTCATCATAATAAATTAATATTATCGTAATAATAATAATTATTATTATTAAAATTAACGGCGAACTTTCATAAGAAAAAAATTATTCAACATTTTAAAAGATAACTTTAACAAAAAATAAAAACATCAAAAGTAAGAACACAAATGTTTATATATGTACACACACACACACGCACACACACGAACACCCACACACACGAACACGCAAATATCAATACATACACAAAACGTACACACACACATAGCATACACCACACATAGCTTACGAACGTATGTATATGTACATGTTTGTTTGTATATGTTTGTTTGTATTTGCGTGTGTGTGTGTGTGTGTGTATGCCTGTTTTTTTGTGTATGTATGTATGTATGTATGTATGTATCCAATGTCATCAACGACTCCATCCTCATAATCTGTAGTGTCTTGTCGTCATTAATCTAATTAACTAATTAAGACCCAAATTAGGATCTTTATGATGAATAAAATGTTTATATAAATTATATACAAGTATATATATATATATATATATATATATATATATATATATATATATATATATATATTATACAAGCATATATATATATATATATTATTTATAATTTAATTACATATTTATAAATAATTCATTCCATCTTAAACGACGTTAAAAAGCGCGCTAGAATGACAAGACGAAAAGAAAAACACGTCGAAATAATTTTATTATTAAACAATTTGAAATTAATATATATTTTTTTTAAATGTGTTTTCTGTCCATCAATCTATCCATTAATTCATTCATTTAGTTGTATTTCTGTTCGTTCGTTCATTCATTCATTCAATTTAATTCATTCATCAATTTGTCCGTCCATCAATATATATATATATATATTCATTCATCTATTCACTTACCTATTCATAGATTCATGATTTATTCAATATGTCCATTTCTTCATTCATCCATTAATTTATTCATCTGTCCATCATTCAACCAATCCATTAATCCATCCATTCAATCAACCAATCATCCATCCATCCATTCATTCATAAGCTGAACTAACAGACTCGAATATAACCCCTTTGACGAAAAATTTCTACAAAAAATAAATTAATACAAATTGAAAAAAAAAAATGATAAGAACAATAGTAACGTCGTTAAAATTATCAATATGAACATGTGTGTGAAGCGCTAGCTACATCGCCATCATCGCTACTGCAGTCGCTACCACTACTATCACCATTCTTATCATCATCATTCTTATCATCATCTATCTTTCTTCATCATCATCTCTATCATCAACATGACCAGTAGAGAAGTTCAAGCTGAGTACTTCAAGGTCATAAGTATCAGTGCTTTGATTTCAAATTGAAAAAATTTGACTCGTGTGATCATAATGAATGATGAAGACTTTTATTTTCAATCATTTCAATGATCAGCCAAATTCAGATCATCATCATCAGCACTTTTGCCATCATCTCCTTCATCATCATCATCATCTTCTTCTTCTTCATCATCATCATAATCTTCATCGTCAGAATATTTTATCAAAAGCCTTTTCATATTCAGAATAAAGAATCTGAAATCAATAAAAACTTCGACAAAACAATGACGATTAACCAAGCAACTAATCAATCAGTCAACCAGCTAATCAATCAACCAACTAATCAATCAGCCAGCTAATCAATCAACCAACTAATCAATCAGTCAACCAGCTAATCAATCAACCAACTAATCAATCAGCCAGCTAATCAATCAACCAACTAATCAATCAGTCAACAAACCAACCGACCAATCAGTCAACCAGCCAATCAAATATATTTATATAGAGAGCAATTTTTGAGACATCTAATGGACGTGATGATGCCAACGCGAATACCATTCGCTACTAACAAATTGACAGCTTAATGGCGATTTATTGGCTGATGGATGGAGGGAGGGATTGATTGAATGACTGATTGAACGAATGATTGAATGATGAATTGATTGAATGAATGAATGATTGATTGAATGATTGAAAGAGGATTCCAATAGAGCAATGTAATGCTGATTTTTACTGTCCCAGTAAATTAAGTGTCACTAACGAACGAAAAAAAACGATGATGATAATGAAGATAACAATGATAATGATGATAACAATGATGATGATGATGATGATGACGATGATGATAATGATGACGACGACGATGACGACATCATGACATAACTCCATCCCAGCAAAGTGCATAAACAATTTATTCGTCCAAAAAAAAATCATTTTCTCTTAACAATCACAACCTATCAACAATGATTGTGCCGGCTACTGGCTGTTGTAGTAGCAGCAACAGCAGCAGCAGCAGCAGCAGAAGTATTATTATTAGTAGTAGTAGTGGCGGTGGGAGTGGCGGTGTATCTTTTGTTGCCTAGCAAGAGACTGGTGCTCAACTTCTTTAAGATGGTCCTCTTCTTATGATCGATGACATTAACATCCTTGTGGTCAAGGTCGCTATCCGCCTGTGATGCTATTAGTGAATTAGTGTCATTGTCGATATCGTTATTATTATTATTATTGTTGTTATTGTTGGAGGGGTCCAGGTTATCTTTCTTCGGTGGCTTATTGTAGGTCTGGCCAAAGACAGAGTTAGGGTCGGATGATTTTTTTAATTTAATTTTTTCAAAAATATTTTGCCTGGATGGCGACGACGATGTTGCTGCTGCTGCTGATGATGAAGATGTGGATGATGTGGCTACGTCTGCCGCTTCACTGCCGATTCTGTTGTTGCTGTCGTGCGAGACCTTCAGAACTGTGGGCGTTAATGTGAATGGTTATGAAAGAGCAATCGAGATGGGGTGAAAATTTTATCTGGTGAATCAAACAATAACTTTAATTATCGTTAGAATTTTTAAAATTATTTCATTATAATAATTATAATAATAATAATAATTATTATAATTATGATAATAATTATTTTAATTATGATAATTTCGAAAATTACTTTTCCTCCGGCCGCCCTCCTGATCATAAGCCCCGGCCTTGACCTTGCGAGCGTTCCTCCTCACCTCTTCTTCCTCATCCTCCTCCTCCTCGTCTTCGTCTTCCAGCATCTTGCTCTCGTCGACGGTCAGGTCGTCCGTGGCGTCCGAGTCCCCCTCATCAGCCTCATCATCGTCCTCGTCGTCATCTTCACAGAACGTACCATTCGAGGAGCCTACACCCCCCCTGGAGGATGACCTGGTAAGACGATCGGATTTTGGCGCGTTTGATTTCGCCATTTTCGGTACAAAGACATCCAGATCTTCTCCAGTCAGGAAATCCTTATCCGTGTGGAATCTGGAGGTCTTCGGGTTGCTCCTTAAGGTCCTCGTCGGCATGAGGGTGGAAGATGGCGGGAGGAGAACAAGTGACGTCATTGCGTTGACACTGGAGCAGGGATTTGCGGTTGAGGAGGTGATGATGCTGGGCGTGTGTGGCGCGACTGCAGTGGCTGTTGCTTCAATCAGTCCCGCAACAACATTAACACTGCCGCCACTACTGCTAACGACGACGTTGACGCTGTTGTTGTTGTTGTTGCAGCTGCTGCTGCTGACAGAAACATTTCTAGACTTTCCATTCCTAGCTCTCTTCCGACCACGAGCTCTCATATTTTCCAATCTGAAACTCTTCCTCCCCTCCTCTGTCTCTAGCCTCTCCAAGTACGGAGCGATTTCTGCCGGATTCAAGAGAGGGCCGTTCTTCAAGTCGGGAATGGGAACCATCGGACTGATGTGAATCTGATGCGAGTAGCGATTGTTCACGCTTTCGACTGCCGCCCCATCTTCGAGCTCGTTGAACGAAACCGCATTAGACTGCAAGCTGCCTGACGCACTGCTACCAGTTGCCGTAGTGCCCAGGTCGTAGTTGATGTCCATGTTGTCTGATTTGTGCGCCAGAGTCATGTGACCCTTCAGAGTGATGACGTTGAAATATTTCTTGTTGCAGATTGGGCAGTTGTGTTGCTTGTAGTTGAGTTCCTCTGTCTTGACGCCCATGATAATCAAGCAGATGGTCAGTTGGTGCTGGCGACAGAGCTTCTGCGTTGGAAACTTCTCGCCACAGTAAGGACAGAGATAGGAGTACTGGCGAGTGTAACTAAATCTGTGTGTGTGTGTGTATAATCAAGAGTAACCCAGTGAAAATTCAACAATCAAAACTCAACAAATCAACTAACCAACCAGCTGACCAACCAATCAGCTGACCAACCATACTAGCCAACCAACCAGCCAACCAACCGATTAGAATTAGCATCAAAGCATTTGGACTTCCTGTGATCCTTCTTTAGCTGTTTCGTACTAAGATCAGTCATACAGTGAGAGCAGTGATAGTTGACGATGCACTGCATGTAGACATTCTTGTACATTATGCCCTTTGAAGGGCGTTTCAAATAAGGGTTGTTGTTGTTGTTGTCACCGTTGTTGTTATCGGTCGGGGTTTTAGCGTCCGTGTTTTTAGACGCCTTTGCCTCTGGTTTGTGACTGTTTTTTGATGATTTTATTGACTGTTGCTGGTCGTTTTGTTTACGTTGTTGCTGTTGTGATTGTTGTTGTTGTTGTTGCTGCTGATGTTGTTGTTGAATGTTGTAGAAATCTGAGTTATCAACTAAAGACGTTGTTGATATTGTCGTGAATTGTGGTTTTCTATCTTGCTGTTGTTGTTGTTGCTGCTGGTCCATGTTTGCAAACATAAGTGGATTAGAGTTGTTGTTGTTACTGTTGTTGTTGAGAGTGCATGCTGCCTGGTAGAGGTCATTCCTTGGGAAGTATTCTGAAGAAAGCTGTGAAGCATCAATCGTCGATAGGGTCTGCAGCGATGGATTCAACAACAACACATTACCATTGTTGTTGTTGTTGTTGCTGCTGCTGTTGCTCATGATCAAATCACTGCTGCTCATTGTTTGGCCAAGAAAATTGTTCAATATGCTATACTGGTTAGCTAGGCTGTTGTTGTTGTTGTTGGCATTGTTATCAGTAATGTTGTTGTTCATTGTTTGTAGCACATTATAACTTTGCGCGTATTTTGATAAATCATATTGCAACTGATGTTGTTGCTGCTGCTGTTGTTGTTCTTCTTCACGCTTCACATGCTGCTCTTCTGAATGTTTTTTCAGATGTAGTAGCTGATGACTAAGATGTTGTTGTTGTTGCTGCTGCTGCTGGTGCAGAAGATGCGGGTGATGCTGTTTGACATCTCCACTGAGGCCATCATTGACACGAGCAACACCACTAGCATTGTCGCCATTGTGGTTGCTGTGGTCGGTGTGCTTACAGAGCATGTGTCTGACGAGAAATAGATCTGAGTGAAACATTTTTCCGCAAACCCAACACCTGCTAGCTGGAGCTCTTGTGGTTTTCGTTGCGTCAGTGTTGTTACCTTTGATAATGTTATTTCCAGCTCTACTTAGAATTTCAACTCCACCTTTTTTACTATCTTCACCCACAAATTCTTTTTTCCCGCCATTACTAGCTTCATCATGTGTGTCTTTTATGTGTAAATCGGTGTTCTCGTCCTTACAATTATCATTCGCACTGCCGTTAGTGCTATTAGTACAGGTGTACTTGCAGTGGAACCAGGCAGATGTCTGCTCTTGGAAGTGCAGACCGCATTTGAGGCAGGCGTAGACGGCAGACATTGTGTGTCTGCTGTGCTGTCCATCCTGGCAGGCCTTCGCGTGGCCTATGAAGGACTCTTCACTGTAGAACGTGACGTGGCATCTGTCGCATCGAAAGGTCACAAACTCGAAGATGTTCACGTCGTTGAGGAGCAGTTCTCGACCAAACGCTGACGATTGGTTGCCGATGGTCCGGTTCTTGTCCAATGAAAATGCAGATCTTTGCTGCTGCTGCTGTTGTAGTATGAAATTTTTAAGATATTCCACAGGCGATTGAGTGACAGTGATGCTGTTGCTTGGATAGCTGATATTGACATTGTTGAAATTATTGTTAAGAGTAGATAACTGATTCCTTGGCTGCTGTATGAAGAGATGCGTGATCTGCTTATCCTCTGTATTCTCCACTTTGATGTGTTGTGAAGATGAGGACGATGGTGCCGACGCTGCCCACTGAGTCATCTCTGCTGCACCTGGACACACCCCCAACTCTACACTACTACTGCTCATGCTCATTCTACTGCTGTTTTGAATGCTATCAGCAGTGTTGGCATCGTTACAAACGCCACTATCATTGACGACACTTGCACTGTTGTCTGAATTTGAGTTGTTGTTGTTCTCCTCACCCACCATCATGTCCTCTTCGTCAGGGTCGTCACCGAGGCAGCCCCCTGTCATGCCCGGGCAGACGACGATGTGAGCAGTCAGCCAGGAGCAGTCTGGAACAACCTCACCACAGCCGTCACAAACACACGGCTTGATCTGAGAATCATTCAAATCTAATAACTGTTGCTGTTGTTGTTGAATTTGTTGATGTTGTTGTTGTTGCTGGCCATCAAACAGCAGCATCTGATTCGACTTGCTAGCCCTGTTATAAGTTCGGTTTGATTTCCTCAAGGGCTGCACAGTGGCAGTGACCACTGCAGTGACGGGTGTTGCGCCGGTTAAACTGGCGCCAATCGGTGCATCTCTGGCTGAATCTTTACGTTTGCGGAGTACCCTCTTCTCGATACTGCTTTCTTGGGGAAGTTTAGGCAGACTGACAAAACATTTGGTCAACTTGACTGGTTCATCCACAGCTTTCTTAGGAGTCTTCTCCTGGCTTCCGTAATTGCTATCCTCGCTCGTGGCGCCAGAACCGCCTAAATAAAGTTCATTCATGTTGACCTGTTCCCCGAATCTTTTGCGACAAGCTATCTGATGGTTCCTCAACCATGGTCGAAGTCCTTTGCGATTTTTATTCTTCTCCCTTCTAGAACCGCCAACCCTGCTGCCAACGTTAACATTTGTAGTAACGCTGGCAGCAGCAGCAGCAGCAGCAGTATCTGGGGTAGTGCCTGCATCGCTTTCAAGCTTCTTCATCTTAGCCGGGCTGCCGAGTGAGCCTCTCTCATCTATTTCACAATCGCCGTCATCGTCATCGTCGTCGTCAATCACGACACTTACAATGGTTTCATTGTTATTGTTATTCGGGTCAGACGACCCCACGAGGGAGCCATTTAATTTCGAGCACTTCCTTCCTCTCCTTGGGCCAAATATAATTTGATTTTCAGTATCCGTTATACTGCCATCGCTAGCAGTAAGAGCAGTAGTAGTAGTAACGGTGGTATTAGTAGCAGTGGCATCAGCTGCGGCGTCATCAGCCTCAGTAGCAGTAGTAGTAGTAGTAGCTGATATAGATTTATTTCTTAGCCTTTTAGATATAGGAACATCAATATTACCACTGTTATTATTATTTTTATTATTTTTATCACTACCATCATCACGGTCATCCTCGTCGTCGTCGTCGTCATCGTATACAATGCCGACATTATCAGCTGGATTCGACGATGAGAATGACGACCTTCTTCGACTCAACGCAACTCTGTGGTGTGAAACAACCAAAGAATTATTACTACCGTTATTATTATTGTTGCTGTTGTTATTACTATTTTTGTTGTTGCTGTTTTCAGAATTAGTAGTAGTGTTAACCAAAGCAGTAACTCTATTAACTGTAGTAGCAGTAGTAGCGGCACTAACCACCGTATTACTACCACCAGAATTTGTGCATGCAACGGTAATAGTAGTTGCAGTAGTGCTTGTATTGTTGTTATCCGCGTTATTAATGTCATTAATGTTGCTGATTTTACTGACGTTTGAGGAGCTATCACCCAAAACATTAATCATCACATTGGTACATCCCTGGCCGCCGGGGGCCACTCCGCTACTCTTGTGGTCAGTAGTTTTATCTCGATTAATGATCAACTTGTCAATGCTTACGATAGCTGTCTGCTTGGTTCTGTCTACAATGGCTGTCGATGAGGATGACGACGATGAAGATGGCGATGACAGAAAAGAGGTCGGCGGGGTCATTATCAGAGGTGGTGGAGTGGATGACGACGTGGTCGATGACGTCATTATTTTGAAGTTTTTCATGTTGTTGTTGATGTTGACAAAGGATTGAGAGAGTGGGTAGACGATCTCTCTGTAAATTCCTTCGCTAACTTTAACTGGATTCTCTGAAATGATGACTTGGTTATTTATTACTTGCTGCTGTTGTTGTTGTTGTTGCTGTTGTTGTTGCAGCAATTGTTGCTGTTGCTGCTGCTGTTGTTGTAATAATTGTTGTTGCTGCAGCAGTTGTTGTTGCTGCTGCAACTGTTGGTGTTGCTGCAACTGTTGTTGTTGTTGCTGCTGCTGTGGAAAACCGCTGCTCTCAATTGGCAGGTGGTAAGTGAAATTGGATACTAAATTAGAGAGGAGGTTGTTTGTGAGGATGATGTTCGAGTCACTGACTATGATAACGTTGGTCGGGTCTGCAGAAATACCCAAAAGATTATTATTATTACTACTATTACTATTGTTAGTGCTACTGATGTTATTGTTGTTAGAATTGTTGCCGCTATTGAGGGGTACGCTAATGACATTGCCAACTAGAGTATTGATGTTATTGATGCTACTGATCATATGACCTGGGGCCGACCCTGAAGAAGCAGAAACACTAATGGTGGGTGAGGAAGAAATTGTGGCCGCAGTCGTCGTGACGGTGCTATTGGTGCCCACCTTGCTGACCTTCTTGTTTCCTTTACTCCCATTGGTCAGTTTCTTAGAGGCTCCAGCTCCGGATGCTGACTTTGTAATCTGATTGGTTGGATTGGCAGCCGTGGTTGAGATTATTGTGGCCTCTTGTTCCTCCCTGGCTACCAGGCGTTTAAATAGGTCATCAACGTTTATGTGAGAAACTGGGACACGTATGAATGCATCGCCTGATTGGTTGAGTGTGTACCTGCAGGTGGTTTGTGATTGGCTGGATAATTTTAAACTCATTTTGAAACCAGACCAACACGTACGCAACGACTCAAACACAGTAGAAAACTTAAAAAAAAACAAAAACATACACAATCACACACAAACACAGACACACACAGGCAAACATACAAACAAACTGACCCGTATTGAACGAGGTGTTGAACGATAATGCTCCTTATAGCAGACCATGGCTGCTGTCTGTCTACTGTCACAGGTCTCAACTGAGCCACTGTCTGCAATACGCTGTTGTATACCTGTCAGAAGATTAATGAATGTACGAACGAACAAACGAATCAATCAATCAATCAATTAAATCAATCAATTATTCCTATTTATCGTTAAAATTATAATACGAATTAATGAACGAAAAAAAAATGGATAAAGGAATAAATGCGGAGAAGGATAATCAAATAAATATCAAACAAATTAATCAACGAACGAATGAACGGCCAAAAGAATAAACAACTGAATGAATGATTAGATAAATAAATGAATAAATGAACGACTGAAGAAATAAGAACCTTGATATCGACAGGCAACATCTTGCATGCAGAATTAGGAATTCCAGCTGATCTGCCTTGGAAGAAATTGAGAGCCTCAAGATAATGCAAAAGTGTCGGATCCAGAGTCAGTGAAGTCAGCAAGCACTCCTTGGAGAATAAAAAGAGGATTGCATCAGTCAATCGACCAACCACCCACCAAATTAACCACCCAACCAACTGATCAACAAGTCAATCGATCAATCAACCTACCCTAACACCGATAAAAATAAAAACATTTACACAAATCAAAACAACAAAAAAGAAAAACTAACGGATAACAGGGGTGTAAAATTTCTAAAAAGTTTAGCGACAATCTCGACGATTCGGACCAGCTTCAGAGCTGCGGCACTCCCAACGTACGGCGATGGAGACGATGACGGAAAGGACGAAGATGACGATTGTTTTTGTTGGTGGAAAATTCTCAGAGAAAGCTCAGTGCAAAGCGGGAGGAACTGATTGGTGAACTGTGTGACGAACATGATGCTAAGAGATATGATCGTGAATTATTTTTACATTTTTTTTTGACGATGCGGACAACAAACATCAGAGCTACTACATCTCAAGCATCTCTTACAGAAACCAACAGCAAACACACAATGCATCTCTCCGCACTCGAACCAGGTCATTGCAAGAACAATGCAACGTCACACAGTCCTCCGAAGTAGTAGCAGCGGCGATACTGTGGCAAGAACATTAGCGACGCTACTTCTAAATCGAAAACGCCACTCACTAATTTTAAATAAATTTTTTCTCCAAAAAGTTCACACAATTAAAAACTGCACACATAGCCAGAGACTTCTTCATAATATGACTCTAGGGCATGCAGACAAACGAAATACAAGTTTGTTTGTTCCTATTTTACAAAAAGGTTAACATTTTCATCCGCTGCTATAGGCTGCGCTATTATATTACATCACGTAATGTTTGTTTAGGTAGACAAGCGTTTGATCAGTTGAATTTCAAATTGTTCATTGTACATTTTGATTGCATTAAATTATAATATTTTACGTGACGAAAATTTAAAATGGCTAACGGATTAATTTATTGTAGATAACACAGGCTAGCGTCTTCAATGAGGTTAGATTGAATTAGTTTCATAGATTTAACAAATTTTCATAGTCGCTCAATAAAACAATCATAAAAATTAAATTAATTTATTTACATTTGGAACTATTTTAACATTTATTCACAGAGAAAAACCTATGATATACACAAATACTGATATACAAATGATATACAGCAATGATATACGAATACAATGATACATATTGAAACAGAATGTTACAAAAAAAATTTAGATATTCCTTGAAAATCTACATCCATAGCTATCCGTCCCATGAATTAGAGACAAGGTCTGACTCTGCTGTTGTGAATGAAATGAAGATACATGGATAATGTTCTGGCATCAGGTACCCTTAGATAGATCTTGCTCCAGTAAAACATTTGAAAGTTATTGAACACAATTTTGCAAAAACTTGGCTTACATTTTGAGTAATTGAAAGTGTTGAAATTTTTCAATTCAGTTTAATTTTATTTGTATTTTTTTTTTCAAATTCTTCAACCATCAGCCCTTATGTACACCTAAGCTAAATGAAAGCCACAAAATTGACATTCTAGATCTGAACTATTCTATCAGCTAAGCTAAGCTCGGTAGCTATAGCAATAGCTAAAGCAGTAGCTAGGCTATTAGCGATAATGATAACAAACGATAAAAATATTAGTCATCGTCATTGTCGTAACTAACTAGCAACATAACCACCATCCTTATCACAGTCATCATCATTTTTTTTATTAGCTTTATTAACAAACTTAATTGCTGAAATGTAATATAACAATATACAAATGATAGGTTATGCATCATTAACATTGCATCTTTATCAATCCCTATAATGTGATCAAGGTGACGGTGTGAGTGTGATGGAAAGAAATTGATCAGTGTAGCCGTGTAGAAAATGACAGTATAAGTTTCAGATGAAAATGACAAGCAAAGATCATGCTGATGATGGTAATCAAACAGGGTAAAGGTTAACTTTACACTCCACCCAACAGCGTATCATACCACAGAAAGTTCTACTACCTGATCGTAAATTGTCTCGACGAATATGCAGAGTGTGTCGAACTCTTCCACTACGCCTACCATCTTGTTGATGTTTTCCAGCATCAGCTCTTGCGTCATGTCGTCGTCGTCACTTTGAATGCGAAGCCAGCATAGCAACAGTTCCTGATTGGTCGATTTTTGCAAATGAAAATTGATCTGATTGGCTGGCTAGTTGATTGGAAGTTATTTATTCGGTTGATTGGTCGATTTTATGATTGAAAATTTTGTTGATTGACTGGATGGCTAATTGATTAGTTGATGATTGATAGGTTGATGTGCTGAGTGGTTAATTAGTGCTGATTGAATGTAATTATTTAGTCCTGACAGGCTATTTGGTCCAGACAGTGACTGGATTAATATCTATGTCAATCCATTGGCAATTCTTAGATTGTTTATGTTAGTTGGTTGGTTGATTGGTTGTTTGATTGATTGGTTAATTGATTGGTTGCAACTGTCAAAAAACTCACTCATATTATCAATCAGGTTTGCGAAAATCGTAGTTCATCAATAACATCATCGACAGCACAACACACACTAACACCACCACCATCATCATCGCTATCATCATCACCACCACCATAATCGTCGTTATCATTATCATCATCACCACCGTCGGCGGCGACATCACCATCATTATCATCGTCATCATCATCATCATCACCTTAGTGCAACAATGATTGGTGGATGTGAGTAAATCCTGCAATAGAAATATCTCAGAAGCAATCCTCAATATCGGAGCCTGAAAGGATAGCCTAAATAAAATATTATAATTATTATAATTATTATTATAAATTACTATTGGAAATTATTATTATAAATTATTATTACTTATAATTATTATTCCTGCTGTTATTTTATTACTAATCATTATTAAATATTAACCTCTCCATAGTTTTGATGACATCTCTGGCCAGGCAGCATGGAAGCTGGCAGCACTGAAATTATAAAAATATAAAAAATTATGAATATAATTAAATAATTGAATAAATACATAAATAAATAATAAATATATATAATATAATATATCATAAAATCAAAACGCCATAACTAACAATATGCAACAAACTATTGATAATATAGGAACGAACAGAATATAGATAGACCGAGATTAAGTGAAGCAAACAAGAAATGAAGTTACTGTAGGATAAAATACATCATATTTATATTCCATACAATTTTATTTACTCTTAATAAACATACACACACACACACAAACACACAGACAGACACACACACACAAACACACAGACAGACACACACATATGCACGCACGCACACAAACATAAACACAATAAAAAAACTCCACAAAAGGAAGAAATGGACTCCCATTGAAAAAACCCTCCAGAGAAAAAACTAATATGACTAACTTTTCACTATGTGCTAATTTGACACACAAATGAGATGTGATATCAACATTCTCAGTATATACACACATACACATGCGCGCGCGCGTGCGCAAACACACACATACACACACACAAACATAGTATTGTATTTTAGTGAATAAAAGATTTATTAATTTGAATTAAAACATAAATAAATATTTTCACAGAAAGACTTACATGTCTATGGAACTCTTCGCTACGTCCTAACTTATTAAAGACAAACAACAAATTAGAGATGATGTCGACATTGCTCTGTAAAGGGGGATACTTGAGGCACCAATCAAGCAACTGAATAGCTACTGCATCCAAGCCATTATCAGACATCATTCTAATTTGACCGGCTATTTCTGATGCATTTTCTCGCACATAACTTATGCCTTTATCAGGAAAAAATATTCAAATTTGATAAAAAATTTTTACGAATTCTATGTGATCTTCATTAATAAAATAGACTCTATTTATCTAATTAACTTGACAAAAAATACAAATTAAAATTTAGTACATGAAATAATTAGCTAAAACTAGCTTTTGTTTATTTTCTTTTATTAAAAAATATTTTTAAAAAAGAAAAATGTATCATACACCACCTATCTGTTATAATGATCTGTGAACAAACTTTTTCTGAACAACAAAATTAAAAACTCGTTTGAAAAAATGCAAAATTGACCTGATTCATCCTGAACCGGAGTCCCCTCAATTAGTGAAATGAGGATAGGACTCACCCAGATGTTTGACATTTTGTTCGAAAGATTTATGGGGCACAGCAAATCAAAAACGTCGATCAAACGATCAACACGTTGGCCATATTAAATTTCCGACTAAGACTCAAGTTTTATACGGTTTTAAATAACTAATTCACTAATTTTAGTAATTATCAATAAGACGCAGCGTCAATGGCAAACAATCAAACAACGACTGTGCAAAACATCCACGGACTTTCGCCTAAAAGTTATTTCGGGGTTTTAAAAAATGTCGATAAAAGAATAATTTGTTTTACAAAATCCTCAAGAACAATCAATTTTGATAATAAATTGGATTTAAAATCAAAATAAAACAATTACGGCATCCATTATAATTTCTCGCCACGAACAATAAATTTAAAATTTAATATACACAAATTAATGTCTATGCTTATTGTGTATCATTTCAAACAGTTAAATTGATCAAATTCGATGTCTTTTTGTGAAACTTAAAAGGTTAATTGTCAATTTTTTGTAAAATTTATGAAAAAATTTATTACGTAATACTGTAGGGCAAGAATATTAATTAGTTTTTTTCAAATATCGGTGTCTATATCTAAGAAATTGTAAAGCACTTTTATTGAATAACTTTGAATAATGAATTGAATAATGAGCTATATGAAAGATTTACTTGACTTATTATGTTTAAAATAATGTAATTAAATCAAATTATGTATTATAAACTTATTTTTGACAATTTGAATATAAAAATTGCTTTTTATCCGGTGAGATGCAGTCATGGATGCAGTAGCATACTGAAGGTATTATAAGTATATTATATACTATATAAGGTATTATATATATATTATATAAGGTATTATATACTGAAGTCATAGGTTGTCTTAGTAGGATAGAACAATGTTTTTACTTATTTGATTTTATTAAGTTTTTATTGTTCTGTTAAATTAGTTTATTTAATACTAATGAATAATTATTATTTTTTATTAGTATCGATATTATATTAATACTAGCAGTAAATTTTACAGTAGTTAATAAATAGGAAGTGTATAATAATAATAATCAACCAACGCTATAAACAAATTCAAGGTTCATTTGTCGATTAGTTGATTGTTTGATTGATTAATTAAATAAATGGGAGATTGACCGTTTGGTCAGTTGATTTGATTCAGAGGTTGATTGATTGATTCAGAGAGTGATTGACTGGCTAATTGATAGTACAGTACCAAAGTTTTCAGACCTGCTCACAGTACTGAAACTTCTTTACTTAAAACACACAATGATATCCTTCTCTATATTCTTCTATATTCTTTTCTCGATTAGATGTTCCTGTGAGTGAATGAATGGATGAATGAATGAATGGATGAATATGATAAATGAATGAATTAACTAATTAATGAGGAATGAATGAAAGAACGAACGAACGAATGAATGAATGAATGAATGAATAAATGAATGGTGAATGAATGATGGATGGATAAATGAATGAATTTTTAGAAAATTTTATAAAATTCTGACTACTACTAAGTCTTTCTCGAAAACTCCATTAGAAGCTACTTGCACGTTTCATAGAACGCCATTGCAAAAAAACTTATTTTCGAATGAACGAATGAACAAATGAATGAATAAATAAATGGATAGATGGAGGGATAGCTATAAAAGAAAGAAAGGCACTCCCACGACTGTTCATACGAGTTCCAAATTTCATTCTTCAATAAAACGTTATCAGTTAACTCCTTGCTATCTGTATCTCAATAATCCGATTTCAGACCTGCTCACAGTACTGAAACTTCTTTACTTAAAATACACAATGATATCCTTCTCTCTAGTGACAATAGTAATCTTACTCTTCTTGCTCTTGACTTTTCCTCAGCTTTTGATACCGTTGATCATACTATTCTCTTGAGACTGCTGCATCTTTCTTTTAATATTATTGATTCTTGTCTATCTTGCTTTTCTTCTTATCTCTGTAATCGTTTTTCTTCTGTTGTTCTTAATAATTCTACTTCAAACTCCTCTACTCTTACTTTTGGGGTACCTCAGGGCTCCACTCTTGGCCCTCTTCTATTTATACTCTGTACTTCTGAACTACCTCGTATTATTAATAATTTTTCTTTCTCTAGTCAACTATATGCTGATGATTCTTACATTTATACTTCTTTTCCTCCATCCAATCTCAATAGTGTTCGTCATAATCTCTCTCTATGTCATTCTTCAATTATCGCCTGATCTGACTCTATGTGTCTTAAACTTAATCATTCTAAATTTGAATTAATTTGTTTTAATAAAGTTAAATGCTTTTACTATCTTACTTGATTCTAAAACTCTTGATGTCTCTCATAAGTTTCGCAGTCTAGGTTTTATCTTTGATTCTACTATGTCTTTCTCTTCTCAGATTAATAGTGTTGCTAGAAGCTCTTACTTTTATCTACGTAGGATAAAAAAATTTTGCCTTTTCTTGATGATCCTACTCTTCTCCTTCTTGTTACTTCGTTAGTCTTATCTAGGATTGATTATCTTAACTCGCTCCACTATGGTCTTCCTGATTCTATACTCTATCCTTTAAGTAAAGCTTTTAACTCTGCTGCTCATCTAGTTGCTCGTGCCCCTTTCTCTTCTCATATATCTCCATATCTTGTTCTCTTGCACTGGCTACCTATAAAGTATAGAATAATTTTTAAAATTTGCACGTTCATGTATAAGTCTCAATCTAAATTATTTCCTAAGTATTTATCAGATATATTAATTGAACATAAACGCCCCGGTTTACGATCGTCTCTTTCTTCTCGCTTTTTCTTAACTCGTGTTTAAAACATTCATTTGCCAAATCTGCTTTTGCTTTTTCTGGTCCTTTTCTCTGGAACTCTCTACCTATTTCTCTGACTACTTCTCCATCACTTGCGAAGTTCAGAGCGGATCTCAAGACCCATCTCTTTTCAAAATTCATTGAGGAGCGCTGTTGAACATCGCGGAAATAGCGCTTTATAAGCTAATTGATTGATTGATTGATTGATTGATTGATTGATTGATTGAATGATTGATTGATTGAATGAATGATTGATTGATTGATTGATTGATTGATTGATTGATTGATTGATTGATTGATTGATTGATTGATTGATTGATTGATTGATTGATTGATTGATTGATTGATTGATTGATTGATTGATTGATTGATTGATTGATTGATTGATTGATTGATTGATTGATTGATTGATTGATTGATTGATTGATTGAAAGTGACACAAGGACTCAACAATTTTGAGTATCACCACATTTCAACTTACAAAGTGTTAAAGATCTGGTTTTGTAGAGGTCGATGGTCGCCAATGTCTTAAAAAAATAAGGCACGAAAAAAAAGAAAACAGTATCAAACAGTATCTTATTAATTTTTTGGAATTAATTTTTCACTTTTAATTCCTTTTTTGGTCTCTTGACTGCTTGATTAAAAGTTAATTTTCGTGCAAGAAAATCACGGGTCGCTAATGTTCACTTCGAATTTTTTAAGATTTAAAAAGTTCAAAATTCTCAAATTTTTCACCACTTTTAGACAACTTAATTTCAACTAATTTGCATCATTTTTTAAACTATTGAGATGCTGTCAACCATTGATGATGAAGTTTCTGAAAGTTTAAAAAAATTGACAAATTTTCCCATTGATGGTCAGTTAGTTTGGTCCGGAGTCTGGCTGGGGGCGTGTTTGTATTGTGCGTATATTGTATTGTATATTATCTTAATTTTGATATTGTATATATATATATATATATTGCATTGTATGTAATATGCAAGTGTCTGTAAAAGTGTAAAGTAAAGTGTAAACGTAAAATGTAAGCATTTTTATTTTGTTTTATCACATGTGATTAATTTTTAATCTTTCATGCATGCATTGCATTGCTATTGGTGTCTTATCTGTGTGTTTTTAATATAAATTAAAAATTACACACACACACACACACACACACACACCATCTTTTCCCTCTTTATCTCTCTCTCCTCTCTCTCTCTCTCTCTCTCTCTCTCTCTCTCTCTCTCTCTCTCTCTCTCTCTTTCTCTCTCTCTCTCTCTCTCACACACACACACACTCACACATATAAATATATTTATTTTTATGCACATACATAAACATTTAGAAATGCCCATATATAAAATTTATTTTTTTAAATTGAAACAGTTGTGAAAGAATTCTGCTCAGTCAGTGTGCAATGCATCTTCAAAGAATCCTATAGCAAACTTTTCAACTCAGCAGCATGTTTGTATACAAGTTTACAAGTTAAACACATGCACATGCACAAACACACACACAAACCACACACACATACACACACAAAGTTTGAAGTCCAAATTCATTTTTGAAATAGTTATGATATAAATAGTCATTATTTTATTTTAATAAAATTATAGTTTATTATAATCATAATTTTTTAAAATAATTCTTGAAAAAAAATTTGTCAGCCAAATTAGGCATTGAAGCTGAATGTGTCAAACAAATCATGGAAGGCTTGATGAAGTTCTACATTGATGCTGCCAAGCAGCATGTTACTGCTTAAATATATGATTTTATTTATAATTAATAATCTGTATTTATTCATTTTATTATTCAATTATTATTCAGACGATATTATATTAATACTATCCATCTTGTCATTTGTATTATGTGCATTTAACAAAATTTCTAACTAATTTATTCCTATTTCTAAATTCTACTAGATCTCTGGACAAGGAATGGAGCTAGTTCTAAGAACTTTAAACCTCAAAGATTACGAAAGAATTATATCCGAAGAATATTTTAAAAGTGAATCTAGAATCAAAGAAGTCTTAGGGGGTAGACTTCTACAGCAGAGACATTATAGTCATTGTCAGTGGAGATTGGATGTTAAGGTTCTTTGTTTTGAGTTTCATGGAGTTTTATATCTTTGCTTGGCATATAGTTTTTTTTATATGAAAAAGTTGTATTATCTTTGGTTGTGTCTTTCCTCTTTGGTTAACATTTTTTGTTTGTGGCTTTAAATATGTTATTGAAAATTATATATTTCTTAATTTCATCTTTCATTCATTCATTCATTCGTTCGTTCGCTTAAAAAATCTGTTTATAAATTCGTTTATTCAGTTATATTTGATTTATTTATTCATTCATTTATCAATCATAATTCTTCATTCATTCATTCTTCAACCAATTCATTCATTCATCAACCAATTCATTCATTCATCAACCAATTCATTCATTCATCAACCAATTCATTCATTCATCAACCAATTCATTCATTCATCAACCAATTCATTCATTCATCAACCAATTCATTCATTCATCAACCAATTCATTCACTAATTTATTCCGTTGTTTATTCATATTTAATCCATTTATTTAGTCCCGAAATTCGCTCTTTCTGTCGTTGATTTATATTTTATTAGGATTTATTTTTTCATTTGCTAATCCATCCATCCATTCATTCATAAATTCACTCATTCATTCATGCACCAAAATTCACCCAATTTTTTTTCTTCTACCCAGCTTGCAACTCGCAGCCTCTACCAGCAAATCGAACCGAAGATTTTGCTTAAAATCCAGACGTCAACCAACAACAACAACAACAACATTAACAACAGCAATAACGTCGAAACGTTTCTTTTACAAGCAAACCCGACGAACTTGATGCACATAACAAAATGTTTGGAGGGGGCCTTGAGGGAAATCCAACAGCCCCCGGCCTACTATAGACGCTTAATTAAAAATTTATAAATATTATATAGTGCAATATACTGTTGATACAAAACTATATTAATGATCTTTTTAATTTTTAGAAAAATCAGACTCTTACAGATTATTAAGTAAAATTAAGTCGTTGTTGTTAATTTATTTCATAGTATAATACCACATAAACTTGATAATTACACGCTTCCTTAACTAATACAATTACTTTCGGGATAATTTTGAAAAAGGTATAAATATATACACAACGAAGAAAACCAATTATTATTATAATAATAATTATTATTATTATTAGGTAAGTCAGATAGAGATTTCGTCGGCATGATCTGCTCTGCTCTGCTATGGTTTGGAATGAGCTATCACCACAAACAGACAGTTTGTTTCAGAGCAATCAATCCAAATTTAACATTGGCGCGTAATTCCTACATGGGACCGACAGTCAGAATTTAACCTTGCCAATCAGCCAAGCTTATTTACACTGGAGAAACTATATTTAAAATGATGTGGAAAATTAGATTTGAAATCAGTCAGTGGACATACGTTATCTTTGCGGGATAAAATTTTTCGATGAGTGTCAATGAAAAACATTTATACACTAGAAAGATGCATTTAATATGAATGACTCGAGTAAGCCTTCCGTAAAAAAATATCTTTCTTGGTCGGTAGATAGATGGATGGATGGATAGATAGATAAATTGATTGATAGATGGATAAGTAAATAGATAGAAAGACAGGTAGAGAGAAGCAGACAGACATATATATATCTAATATATATATATATATATATATATATATATGATATTTTTTTATATGAGGTATTTGATATATAAGGCTTCATTTAATAAAGATGTAATTATTATGCATTAATAAAATTTTATAAAAAAAAAATTTCTTTTTACGATTTGATATTTCAATGGTAGTATAAGTAGCAGTAGTAGTTGTTTTAGTAGTAGTAGTAGTAACAGTAGTAGTAATCGTCAGTCAATCAGCCAACCAATTATAAAGATTAAAAAAATTCAATTAACCGCTCTAATTAATTGTCAATCAATAAAATCAAGTATTAAAATTTATTATTGGAAAATTTGAGAAAATCAATCACAATCGAGTTGATAATTTTGTAAAAACTAGAAAGTAAAAATTACTAATCGTTATTTTGACGAAATAATAATTAATTTGATATTTAAGTTCAAAGCCAGATTTGAGAGAGGGCAGGTCCTGGGGAACTCCACACAAAGGGGTATCCACAATGAAGTAACCCCGACAAGAGAAATTGTGTGTAGTTTTTCTCGAAACATTATTTAGCCTTTTTTTTAGCGGCGATGCCTGCTAAAAATACTGGCTTTAAATAAAAAAAATTGTAAAAAACAATCTGACCCTTTTATTGTGAAATTGAAAATAATTAAAATAACAAGAGACTTCCATATTTTTTGCCTCAAGAACTCCAGGCTCGTTAATACGGCCCTGTTCAATTTTGTCAACACACTATAATTCGTCCCAGATGTTAATATCTCTCAAGTTTTTCACCACTCCGCCCTTGACGTATCCGGATTTCAGAGCCTCCTCCACGGAATATTTCTTCCTCTCCAACAAATCATAATATACCCCGGTTTCTCTGTCAATCAAACCCTCGCGACACGCCTCCAAAAAGGGGTAAACTTTCTCGCTACGTCGGTCGACTACGCCCCTTATTGCATACGTCACAGATTCGTAGATTTCAGCTGGAATGATGTCGGGTTTTTGAGGAAGTTTGTTGTTTTGGCGGGACAGGTTGACCCAGTTTTGATCGATGGCGTCTTTCAGGTTAATGACCTTGTTGTTGGCTGTGTCCGTGAAAGTTCCTTTCGGTAGGTCGATGACCTTTTGTGAGAGGGCCTTCTTGGGGCTCAGTTTTGAGTTCGATTTAGTGTCGACGACCCATTTGATGAGGTAGTCGTTGTCACTTTCGTTCACCGCACCGCTGACGTCATCATTCTCAATCACTTCGTCCTCACCATCGTCTTCCTCGTCGTCATCAATTTTTATTATAACTTTCAAAGTTTTAACAGTAACGAGACCGACAGAAAGTTTTCTCTCAGAAGATTTTTTAACGATGGCCGACTGGACTTTGATGAAACTTTGCGACATGGCCTGAGCTATTGGGATGGTCTTCATGGTGTCGGCGTCCACCAAGTAAGTGCCCGCGTCCGCGTCTACGATTCGACGTTCCAGAGCTTCGTTCAACGAGATTTCGAGCCCGCTGGTGCAGTCGAAGACGGACTTGATGACGAACTTCTTATCCTCCTCGCATTGAGCAGCGTACAGATGTTCAGTCTCTGACGTCTTGATCGGGGACGTCTCAGTCCTCTGTCTCGAAAGCGATCGCGAGGATTTGCGTTGGGGTGTTTGGTGCGAAGGAGCAGCGGTGGCGTCTGAAGTTTTATTTTTATAAGCGATGGTTAGTACGTCGATTTCATCTGCTGAGAGACCACGTGAGCTCGTGACGTCATCGACGCTAGTAATTACTTTCGTTGTGGTAGTAGTTGAATCAAAAGTGTAGCTAGTATCGATGGCAGCTGCTACTGAAGTGATTGTGGCTGTCGTTGAAGCTTCAATAGGTGTCGGTAGTACAACTGTTTTTTGAACATCCTTTGTGAAGCTGGAAGAGTGCCTTTGTTCTGATTGGTTGGAGACAACTACGACCGTAGCTGAGCTCTGAGATGATTGGCTGTCGAATGTAAACAGGAAGTTAGAAAGATCTCGAATGTGCGATATGAATGCTTGGTCGTCCAGTTGATGCAATCTTTTGAAGTGTTGCTGCTGAAGCTGCTGTTGTTGCTGCTGTTCTTTCGTTAAATCCGGTGACATTTTCATCGATCTTGTTTAAAATGAAATAACATCATTAAATAATCAGTCGACCAATCAATGAATCATCCTATCAACAATCAAGTAACCAACCAACCAATAAATCAGCATTCCGATCAACAATTAACCAAATAACCAACCAGCTAACCAGCCAACCAATCATCCAACCAACTATACAACCAACCCATGGCTACAGACAATAGCATCAATCATTGAGACAACCTCCTCGATTCTTAACAAATCATCTTGGCATTTCGAATGCGGTGATGATGTTGTGGACGGTGATGATGATGATGGAAAATTATAAGAACATATCAAATTAGACTTCATGTTGATGTTGTAAATGTTTTCGTTATAACATCGTCCCAGTGACTCAACTACAGTTGTTGACGTTATTTCGAAAGACTGTACGTGATTGGTTGATAAAAATAGATCGTTGATTGCGATTGGTTGTGGTGGGTTATTAAACTAAAGTGATTGGTTGTGACTGGAACAGACAAAAATAAACATCCGAACTGTATTGGTTGATAGTTGGACATGATTAGTTGAATCAGGATAAAATTTTAATTAATAAAACCTTACAATTAGACAACAACTCACACAGAGTACACGCGAATTTGCACAAATTAAAGCATCACGCGATCTTGAATTATAATTAAAATAAAAATCATAATAATTAAAATAAAAAATCATAATAATTAAATTAATAAATCATAATTTACTTTGATTGTTTCCATAAGAAGCCTCAAAACACTCAACTGAACCACCAAGCAATGGCCCGAGTGAGAAACTATTTTTGAAGAAAAATTATTCTAAAATCTTATTTCAATCAGTCGAAAAAACCGGCCAATCAATCAACCAATCGAAAAATATCAATCAATCAATCAATCGATCGATCAATCAATTAACCAATCAAAATATTTCAATCAATCATTCAATTAAGTTATCAATCAATCAATCAAGCTAACAACCAATCAAAATATTTCAATCAATCATTCAATTAAGTTATCAAGCAATCAACCAATCAAGCTATCAATCCACAAACCAACCAGCCAATCATCAACCAATGATTAAGTCAGTAAGTAAATCAATCAATCAAAGTATAAACCAATCAGTTAAACTCGTCAACTTACTAAGATCTACGGTGACAGCATATGACCTCTGATTGGTCAGATCCAAGAGGGAATTAACATTCATGATTCTGTCCAAGACATCTCTCAGCCTATCGGCGTGCTTCACTTCCTCATTAACATAATTTATCCCGGGTAGGTCCTTAACTTGGTCGGTGCGACCCAATTTGCAGAGAGATGATTGGATGTCGTTGATTGTGTTGGAGAGATGGATTTTAGTTTCCGGGTTTAGATTTTCAATCAAGATTGTCTAAAAGATAGTGACGATGACGACGACGATGATAATAACAGTGATGATGATGATGACGATAATAATAATAATAATAATAATAATAAATAATAACCTCCAAATTATTATATTGCGGTTTGAAAACATGACTGAGAAGCATCATCATCTTCCCCATCATCGTTGTCTTCAACCTCGCCACATAATCAGTGAATAATTCGTATAAACTGGATGGATGAATGGAATGAATGGAGTGAATGAAGTGAATGGAGTGGATGAATGGAGTGAATGAATGAATGAATGAATGGATGAATGAATGAACGAATGAATGAACCAAAAACTACGTATGAACGAACGAACAATCGAACGAATGAACGAACCAAACATAAAACTTAACGGAATGAATGAACATAATAAACGAATAAAACTCTAACAGAATAATTAAAGTAAATGAATTTAAAAAAAAACCTTTTAACGGATTTAACGAGATCATCATCATAACCGACAATGACCACAAGGGCGGAGGGCACGTCCAGGTAATGACCTTGTGACGTTTTGACCTTCCATAAGATTAGGGATGGGCGGTCTATGATTGTCACCCGATCGTTTTTAGCAAGATTTACCTTCCACAGTAATAATAATAATAATCATAAAAATAATCATAATAACAACAATAACCACAACAATAACAACAACAATAATAATAATAATGATGATGAGTTTTAAGAAGTTTTAAAGGGCGCTCTGAAACAAATTCTCTCTCTAATCTTCTCGTAATCGAAATCATCACCACTACCATGATCATCATAACTACAACCATCATCATCATCATCATCATCATCATCATCATCATCATCATCATCACCACCATCCTCTAGATTACTATCATCATCATCATCCTCTAGATTACTATCATCATCATCATTACCAGTACCAAAACCACCACCATCATCATCACCACCTCTTTAACGGAATAATCGCAAATGACAACGGCAATGACTTCTTTTCGGCCGGAAGTGGTTGCTGACGCTACTTCCGGCGCTGCCGATGGTGCTGATGATGATGATGACGAGGTGATGATAGTTCTTTCTCTGATAGGTATGATGTTTCTGAGAGTGGCGATGATCTCAGACACATCTGCTGCTAGCGACGTCACGCTACGTTCGACTGCCTGTGATGATGATGATGTTTGTCTGTCATGATAATGATGTTTGTCTGTCATGATGATGATGATGTTTGTTATGATGATGATGGTGATGTTTGTCTGTCATCATGATAATGATGTTTGTCTGTCATGATAATGATGTTGATGTTTGTTATGATGATGATGATGTTTGTTTGTCATGATGATGATGATGATGTTTGTCTGTCATGATGATGATGTTGACGCTGATGATGATGAGTATGGTAGTTATGATGATAATGATAAAGTTATAAATGAACTTTACCTATAAACGAACTAAAAGCCTTATAATCAAGTTCATCGGCCTTGTTTTAATTTACAAAATTACGATTTTTAAATATTTTGACCTGGCTTATTATACAGATAAAACTACCATTACATAATACCACTGACCCTGAGTTCATCAGCCAATAGGAGCGCAGATGAGAAATCTCCGTCGTACGATTGGTTGGCGGTGATCACGTGCTTCAGAGCACGGTATATACGGTCGAACGTGGAATGGAGATTGTGGTAGTACTGGACAATCATTGTGAAACATTCACACACACACGCACACACACGCCTACACACACACTCACACACACAAATTCGAATGCTACACGTAGGTAACATCAGAATTATTGTTTTAATTCATTGCATAATAATTAACCTACATTGATTAAGTCATACGTGTGTGTGTGTGTTTGTTTGTGTGTGTGTTGGTTTGTGGGTGTATGTGTGTGTGTTTGTTTGTGTGTGTTTGTATGTGTACGTATTATAATTATACATAAAATTATAAGGACATAAAGTGTTTTAAAAGATCTCGATATATATATATATATTTAATAAAACCACCTACGCTTTCTTTTTATCTTTCATTTCGTAATTTATTCATTCATTCATTCATTCATTCATTCATTCATTCATTCATTCATTCACCCACTCCTTTACCTAATAATTCTTCATTCATTTATTTGCTCAATCACTCACTCATTCATTCACTCATTCATTCATTAATTAATTTATTCGTCCATTCATTCATTCATTCGCTCATTCATTCTAACACATAAATTCCTTAAATTAGACACGGGTAAGAATTTAATTAGCTCAATAATCCAGCTTACAAAACCTGCATAACGATGATGATGATGATGAGAATGATGATGGTGGTGGCGATGATGATGATGAAGATGGTGGTGGTGGTAATGATGATGATTTTGATGATGATGGTGATGAGGACAACGACGAAGATGATGACGATCACGATTGATGAGAAACGTGATGAAAATGATGATGACGAAAATGATGACGGTGAAGATGAAGAAGGTTACGATGATGATGATGATGGTGGTGGTGGTGATGATGATGATTCACTTCAATCTCTGCCCATCACTATCATAACCGCATAATGAACAATAATTGAGACAATTATCCAATTACGTCTTTTTGCTTCAACATTTTGCATCACACTTTAAAAACATGATGATGATGACGGAGGTGGTGATGATGATGATGATGACCAGTTTGGTGATGATGACGATGACGATGGTGATGACGATGATGACCAGTTTGGTGATGATAATGATGACTGATTATGATGATGATGATTACAGGTACGGCGATGAATACGTCAACAGAAAATTGCCAATAATTTCACCATCACCACCACCATCACCATCGTCGTCATCATCGTCATCATTATCGTCTTCATCATCATCATAACCTGGCAGTATGATGACGAATGTCTGACGTGTACAACGAGGCACTTCGTCAGATCTTCTATCACCTTCCAACTTCTTATCAGTCCATCCTGATGACGATGGTGACCGTGGTGATGATTATGATGGCAATAAAAATGATAATGATGATGATCACAAAAACAATGATGATGATGATAATGATCCCAACAACAACGATGATGACGATGAGGATGAAGAAGATGAAAATGGTGATGATGATGATGACGTCAGCAAACCTTTCGAACTCTGTAGAATATTTCACGATCGTCATCATTGCCTTCACGAGCTGGATCATTACCATAACCACGACGACGGTCGTCATCATCATCATCATCACCGAGAGCTGGGTTACTCGTTTTAATCATCTGGACAATGTTCATCGTTGTTTCGTCTACTGTGTGAGATAATTCCTAGAGTTGTGTGTGTGTGTGTTGTGTGTGTGTACATACATGCATACATACAAACATACATACATACATAGATACATACATACTTACAAACATACATGCATACATACAAACATCATTTTAGTTTTATCCACCTGTATTGCATATATATTATCTTATTTACCTTGGCTGATATTGAATTTCATTAAGGTGGAAAATGAAATGTGCGTCTGTATGCTTGTTTGTATGTTTCCATGTATGTGTGTGTATGTGTGTATGTGTGTGAGTGTGTGTATGTATGTGTGTGTATATGTATGGAGCAAAGTACATACAATATTATGCAATAGAGTAACATAACTCTTATCAAATGGATTCTACTGTTTTTTGTATGACATACAATACCATCATCATCATCATCATCGCAGTTTTACAAACAGCATAGCCATCAGAAACATCTGAAACATCATCATCATCATCGTCGTCATCGTCATCATCACTATCATCAACAAGGACATCATCATCCTAACTAACGGAAATAGGCTTTTGCAATACCGAGATTTCAATGAATGACTTTAATGTGGCGAGGTTTCTCACATTCTCGTCCTATTATTATTATTATTGATATTATTATTATTATTATTGCTATTATTATTATTGCTTTTATTATTATTGCTTTTATTATTATTGTTATAGCTCTATATCATTTATTATTATATCACAACCACAATAATCATAATGACACAATAGAAATAATACAAACGATGAGCTGGTCATATTTGGCTTCCATATGTTTTTTGTTCATTTCGAAGAGGTGAGATTCGTACTCATCCTTCCGGATGGACTGACGGAACTCCGAATAAACGTTAGACTCATTTTCGATTTTCAATTCGAGATCTTTGTGTGCTATTTTTAGACTACCCTCGTCGAACCGTCTGACCCCAGATAAGACTTCCGTACTCTTTCCCTAATTAGTTTTCACGATAAATAACGAAATATAATAATAATAATAGTAACAAGAACAGCAACAACAACAACAACAACAACAGCAACAACAACAAGGCAATAACATACTTTTTGTTGGAGTAGCCAGCTGAAGCAATCTTCAACAGTTGTCAGAGGAACGATTTTCTGAATTTAAAAACATAAATGTAATTAAAATCTATTCAATTCGATTTAATCTAAATAATGATATTAATTCTTTTAAATAATTAAAATCAATTTGTTTTTTAATTTAAAATTTAAATTTGATTGGAAGCAGACGCAATGATGAAAAGTGAATCTAAATTTCTACCCTTTTCAAATCGAAGTGTCTCATGGTTATATAGCGCTTTTCTGACATTTTCCTTTCTTCCAGTTTTTTCAAGAAGTTAATAAATTCAAAACTAAAATCACTAATCTACTAAATACAAAGAATACAATCTAAGACGTTATAATATATACAAATTACAAATTAATTTTCTCCTATTTTACAATACAAATCTTTAAAAAATCATTAAGAAAAATGCCCTTTTCATAAATAAACTTCACAAAAACTTCGAAATATTTTTAAAATTTAAAATTAAAATTTTAAAATTTGATTTAAATAAGCTGGAAATGTTAGAAAAAAGCGATGTAAATCCATTACAGGCGGTGTTAACTGCTTTGTTTATATGATTAGTGTAAACCAATGATAAACAGACCTTTAAGATAAAAATAAAAGTAACAATAATAATAATAACGAAAAAAAAAGAATAGCCAAAATAATAGCAATAATAATATTTAAAAGACCGCACATTTAATCATTGTTGCACAATAATATATATACTCAAACATATGTATTTGTATATATTTATATATATACATACATACACATATATACAAACTAATACATACATCTCCACTGTATGTACGTATGTGCATATGTATGTATGTATGTATGTATGATGTATGTATGTATGTATGTATTTATGTATGTATGTATGTATTTATGTATGTATGTATGTATGTATGTATGTATGTATGTATGTATGTATGTATGTATGTATGTATGTATGCATGTATGTATGTATGTATGTATGTATGTATGTATGTATGTATGTATGTATGTATGTATGTATGTATGTATGTATGTATGTATGTATGTATGTATGTATGTATGTATGTATGTATGTATGTATGTATGTATGTATGTATGTATGTATGCATGTATGTATGTATGTATATTATACATACATAAATACATCCAAAGGTACATAGAGATGTACTAATTGGAAATATCTGTGTAAATTTCAAGACTTTTTATTTGTATTATAACAATTATAACTATAATTAAAAATATTAATAACAATTTTTAACTATAATTAATTATAACTGTAATTAATAGTATTAATAACAACAAAAATTATTATAATTGTTATTATTATTATTTATTGTTGGAGTTAATGCAATATTGTAATATCATAACCTTGTTTATACAGCGAATTAAGCAATATTGACAGTAACTTTCAAGCTTTTAAATATTCTCTTTAACAAACCTATGAAACGATGACAAATATGCCTTAATTAATTTGAAATATTTTGGATAATTTGTGGTTCAATTAATCAATCAATAAATCAATCTATTAATCAATAAATCAATCTATTAATCAATCAATCAATCAATCAATCTATTAATCAATCAATCAATCAATCAATCAATCAATCAATCAATCAATCAATCAATCAATCAATCAATCAATCAATCAATCAATCAATCAATCAATCAATCAATCAATCAATCAATCAATCAATCAATCAATCAATCAATCAATCAATCAATCAATCAATCAATCAATCAATCAATCAATCAATCAATCAATCAATCAATCAATCAATCAATCAATCAATCAATCAATCAATCAATCAATCAATCAATCAATCAATCAATCAATCAATCAATCAATCAATCAATCAATCAATCAATCAATCAATCAATCAATCAATCAATCAATCAATCAATCAATCAATCAATCAATCAATCAATCAATCAATCAATCAATCAATCAATCAATCAATCAATCAATCAATCAATCAATCAATCAATCAATCAATCAATCAATCAATCAATCAATCAATCAATCAATCAATCAATCAATCAATCAATCAATCAATCAATCAATCAATCAATCAATCAACCAATCAACCAATCAATCAATCAATCATTCAATTAATTTATAAAGAGCTATTTTTGCGACGTCCAACAGCGCTCCTCAATGAATTTTGCAAGCGGTTGGGTCTTGAGATTCGCTCAGAACTTTGTGATTGAGAAGTAGTCAGAAAAGGAGGTCGAGAGTCCCAGAGATAAGGACCAGAAAAGTGAAATTTCTTAAAAAATTTAAATTTTTTTCATGTCATGAAGTTTTTTCTGTGGCACCACCCTCCGCCGAATTTTGACTGATTTAATTTCAAAACTTGTGCCAATGGCCACTCCCGTCTCCCTCTTGATCCGCCAAGAGTGGTGGAACATTGGTTGAGTCCTGGGTGGCCATGGTTCTCCTGTTGTGTGCAGTATTGTCATTAAAAGTCAGTGAAGCTTAACTTTTAGACAGGAATATTCATAATTTTTAGTTTTTAGACCCAATTATTCATCATTACGAACTACCTACTACGATTCTGTTATTTTTTAGCGGGAAAGTGGCGCTGACAGCGGATTACGCTGGTAGTTTCTTATTAGACTGATGTGTAGTACCCAAACTCTTGAGCGTGAAAATGCATAATCTTGTAATGGTAATTAAATTTTTTCTGTTATGTTATATTGACACAACGATAATTCTTTTCAGTCTGAGTGTTTGCTAGCTATATTTTTGTATTTTCGAGTATACATATATAATAAAATACATATACTAAGTATATGTATCAAATTAGAAGTATGTGTAAAAATGTTAAATGCCTGTAAAATACATATACTAAGTATATGTATTAAAGTAGAAGTATATGTAAATATGTAAAATGCACGTGAAACCATGGATACCATGCGTAAAACGGCCAAAACTGCTTCAAAATTTTGTATTTAGTGTTCCATAGTTTTTAACTTTATTGTAAACATCTACCTAGTTTCCTGTCCTCTCTTGTTTTCAGTTGCAATTTTGTGCACTGTAAAGTTTTTCGTTTCAGTTTCGCGAGATTAATTCCCAAAAATTAAATTTAATAAAAAAATAAAATGTCGGAAAGTTTATATGAGAGCGTCGATTCTGCAAAAGAAGATGGCGAGATATCTGACGATGACGACAAAAATGATAACGTTGGTGGTGGTGACGTGAATGCTAGAAATAATTTCTCCGTTTCGTGCGAAGTTAGGCATGACAAAAATGACGATTTTGCGTTACCAATTTTTCCAAATAATAATAATAATAAACTCCAACAAAAATGCTATTATAATCAGGACACAAATGACGCTTATAGTGAAAAAACAAATAGGGATGTGCAGGGAGGCCCCAGTAGACCCAGTTCAAACAACAACAACAATAATAAAATTAATAATAATAATAACAACTCTAAAATTTGTATGAATGCTAGTAGTAGTAGGAAGAGTAAAAGATGGGAATATTATAAGAAAATCATAGAAAAAAATGGTTTGCATTACGATTACAAACTTTTTATGAATTTTATTTTATTCTATTTTATTTTAATTATTCATAATTGTTGTTGTTTATTTATCTATCTTTGATAATTTTGAAATATAAATTTTTTAAATAAAAATTACATAATATTGTTTCTTCACTTTTGAAAAATGTAGCTTTCTTAAACTTTTTAATTTAATGTTTATTTATTTAATTAATTTAATAATTAATTTTGTAATTTATTTACTCTTTCATTTAATTTTTATTTATTCATAATTTTTCTCATTTCACTAATCAAATCAACAAAATCGTAGAGCCAAGGAATGAATCGGTATTCAATCGTCGATTGAACAAATCGAAGCAGTACTACCCGCGCCCATCCCGCCTCCGACAGCAACAACAACAACAGCAACATTTGCGAGCAGGCACATCCCTTCGGCCGCCTGGATTGATTTTTAACGATTTAAAATCTGAAATGGAGTTTGGCGAGCTGTTGAGAGAGTACGATGAGATTAGGAGAGAGCTAGAAGTTCTCGACGCCGGGGTCGAAATCGTTGGCGGTGATGATGTTAGTGATGATGGTGATGGCCATGATGATGATGGTGATGGCAATGATGATGATGGGGATGGTGATGGCAATGATGATGATGGGGATGGTGTTAGTAATGGTGATGATGTTAGTGTTGATGATGATGGTGGTGGTGGTAGTGGTGATATGGATTATAGTTTTGATAATGTTACACTGTTTCACTGATATATCTATTACTTTTTAGGGCGAAATATACAACAGCAACAACAACAACAGGAATGACAATGGTGATGATGACATTAACGACACTAATATAAATTGCAATAATGATAATTTTTTTAATTATGCTAGCAGTTCTTGTAATAACAATATTTATAATAGTAAAAATGATAAAATTGACGACGATGACGACGATGAAGAGTTGAAAAGGTTAAGAATTTCTGCCTTGAATTCAGCTCTCATCAAGAGAAACAAAGTATACTACGGCAAAAATTATAATCAAGGTGAGTTCATTTTCATCTGATTGGCTGGCTGCCTGACTTGCTCATTTGTATAATTTATTAATTTATTCGTCTATCTGATCCATTCCAGTCTGTTCATTCATAAATTCGTTTGATATTAATTATGTCTTGTATTTAAATTGACTAATATTTATTTTAATTTAGTTTTTTTTTATTTAATGGTTTTAATCAGATAATCACAGGACTGAAAATATGGATATCGAGGGTGATGATGGTGAAGAGGGGGAGGAGGAAGGAGATGGCGGTGTTGATAATGATGGTCGTAATCGTGGTGGTGGTCGTCACGATGGCTCTGCAGAGATCTTGCCCTTGTTGGATTCTGGTCAACCCAGCAAATTGACAACGACTAATCCGAGACTGCAAACTATGAAACAACAAAAACAACATCAGCAACATCTACAGCAACAACAACAACATCAACATTTACAGCAACAACAACAACATCAACATTTACAGCAACATCAACATCTACAGCAACAACAACAACATCAACATTTACAGCAGCAACAACAACACATATTTCCATTCCCACAACCTTTGGACTCTAAAAGCCTAACAGATATATCCAAGCCAAAACTTAATCCAATTGAATCAGTCAATAAAAATCATCCAACATCAATGTTTCCTATAAATTTGTTCTCAGCAACGACAACATCCTCAATAGCAGCACAGCAACAACTACAACAGCAGCAACAGCAGCAGCTTCAACAGCAGCAACTTCAACAGCGGTCAATTATGCCTAATCTATCTATCTTGCAACCAAGATTTCTGCAACAAAATCTGGTGGGTATTGTTCCTCTGAAATTGCAACAACAACAACAACAACAACAACAACAACAGTTACAGCATCACCAGCAACAACAACAGATTAAACCACATATGATTATGCCACAGACTCAGCATGCCATGCAACAACAACAACAACAGTTGTTGCTGCAACAACCTTCTCAAACAATTTTACAACGCTTCCCAGTTTTGCAGCCTTTTCAGCCTCAGCAGCTGACTCAACAGCAACAACAACAGCAGCAACAAACGTTCATTCCTTTGCAGCAGCATCAACAACAACAACAGCTTACATTACCCACCCTTCATCAACAACAACAACAACCGCAACGATTGATTCAACAACAGCCAGCATGGTTGTCAGTGCAAAACAACTTGTTGAAGCAAATAGAGCAAAGTCAACAGCCACAACATCAGCAAAAGCAACAGTTCAAACCACCACAGCTGCCACAACTGCCACAGCCACAAAACTTAATCAACAATAACAACTTTAACAATGGTCTCCTCCCAACACCTACAAAATCAACAAAATTCATTAACATCTTCAATTCGGCCAATCAGCTGCAATCACTTCAACATCAGCAGCTGCAACAACAACATCAGCAGCTGCAACAACAACATCAGCAGGTTCAACAACAACATCAGCAACAACAACGACAACAACTTCAGCAACAGCAACAATTTCAGCAGTTACAGCATCAGCAGTTACTGAATCAGAAAAAGTTACAAGGTGTTTTTCAGCAGAGTTTGCAGCAGCAAGGACAACACCTGCAGCTTCCAAAGCCACAGCAGCAGCAACGAAAGCTGCTTCAACAGCTGCAGGTACGACAGCGTCAGGAACGAAAACTGCTACAATGTTTGCAGAACCAAGGCAACGAAGGCAAGGCAACTCAAGAGCCAATCAATAAAATGGCTAATAATAAGAATAATAAAAACAACAACAACAACAACAACAATAATAATAATAATAAATTCGCCAGTTGTAAGAGAAAGAGTAAAAAAGTAAGGGCTAAGATAAGAAGAGTTATGAATAAGATCAATAATAATAACAATAATAATAATAATAATAATAATAATAATAATAAAGTTCTTACTGGTGAGGCAAGGTATATCGAAGTCATACCCCATCCTATGAGTAGTGCTAAACCATCTTCGTCGTCGTCATCAACGTCATCATCATCATTGCAATCATCATCATCATCGTCGTCGTTGTTGTTGTCTTCGTCGGTAAAGCAGTCGGTGAATTTTTTGTATTCGGCTCGGGTTTCGGCACCAATTCCAGGTTTCAACAACAACAACAATAATAACAATAATAATAATAACAACAACAATAATTGTGAAGATAATGGCGGAGGGGATGTCTTTGGAGGCATTCTAAAAAAATGCGACAGTGTATACGGAAATGCAGCTGACTTGGATGTGAACAACAACAACAACAACAACAACAATAATAAAAATAATAACAATATCGTTAATAACAATAATAATGATATTGATTGCTATAATGATAAGGATAAAAATAATAGTAATAATAATAAAGATAGTATTGATTATGATAGCGATGATATGAGATATTTGAAGGAGCTCAGTGGCTGCCTGTTAGAGAACCAACAATGGAAGGTTACTAGCAATAATAATAATAATAACAATAATAATAATAATAGTAATAATAATAATGTACATGATGATGATGATTATAACAATGACGACGATGGTGATTTGTTGAGGAATGATTTGTTCCTGCTAATTAATGAGATTAAGAAAGGTATTGGCACGTCGGCAGCGGCTTCACCAGCGTCGCCACATCGTCATCAGCTTTATCTTCTCTCCCCGCCACTTCCACCACAGCCTCCACTACCATCATCACCACCACCACCTCCAGCATTGTCACTGCTCCCACCATTACCACCACAATCGCCATCACAATCATCATCACTGTCGTCGTCATCGTCGCCTCCACCGCTTCCGACGTCGTCTTCGTTATCATCACCACCATCAGCATTGATATCATTACCCCTGGCATCATCATCGTCATCATTACAACAGCAGCAGCAACCTAACTCTTACATCATCATCGATGATGTTGAAGATGATGACGACTATGTTGCTAATGATAGCAACAACAACAACAACAACAATAATAATAATAATAATGGCGATGGTGATAATGATGATGAAATGTGCTTTGTCATATGTGAGGGCAGTGATGAGAATGATTTGGTAATAGTGGATGATGTCGACGATGATGACGATACCACTAGGGATGATGATGATAATAATAATGATAATAATAATAATGATGATGATGATGATGATGATTATAAATATGAGGACGATAATGTTGTCGTTGTGTTGCCATCATCATCATCGTCATCATCTTCATCATTGACGTCTGCGGCTGCTCTATCGTACTCCTTATCGCCCATATCTGCATCATCATCATCACTATCATCCGCAATGATGACGTCATCATCATCGTCCATAACATCGTCGTCGTCGTCGTCATCATCGATAACGACATCATCATCATCAGGGTTGTCAAATCATTATCGTCATCTTAATGTCGTCACGAGTGACGTCATCTCTGTCAGTAGTAGCAGCAGTGCTAACAACATCTACGACATTGATGACAATAACCATGATGATAATAATAATAATAATAATAACAACAATAATAATAATAACAACAACAACAATAATAATGATAATAACAACAATAATAATAATAACAGTTATACAAAAGGTGGTGATGACGACGACGACATGGATGAAGAGGAATTAATGCTGAGAGCCAAGTTACTGCATTCCTTAACCGTTCGGAGGAATAAGAAGTATTCAGAAATGTTACTTAAAGGTCAAGGTGAAGGACGTGAGCAAGAACAACGACGGCAGAAGCTACCACAGCAACCACAGCAGCAACCGAAACGACAAGTGCAGCAGGAATCACCACAGTATAAACCTGCTTCAGTGAAAAGTAGTAATAGCAGTGGTGGACGCAGTAGCGACAGACGCTGCAGGGACTGCAGTGATAAACGCACCAGCCGTGATAAACACAACGGCAGCTCTAATAGACGAAGCAGCAGCAGTAGTAATCGTGGCTGTAACAGCTGCCAAGATGATGACAAAATTAGTCGGCGTCATCATCGTCGTGACGATAGTCGCGAAAAAATTGAAAATTCTGAGAGATCGAGGTGCAAAAATGATGAGAAAATTGAAGATCGGACTCTGCAGCAGCAGCGAGTGCAGCAGCTACAAACGTCACAACAGCAACCACAATGGCAACTACAACAGCAGCACCAGCAACAACAACAGCAGCATTTGTTAATGCCATCTCAACAGTATAATCCATTTCAACATTCACAGCACCAACCAGAATTGCATAGACAGTATCAACAACAACTGCAGCCGCAACAACTACAACCACTGCTGCTGCCACAACAACTGTTGCTGCAACCGCAACTAAATCAGCCTCTGCAACAACAACAACAACATCTGCTGTTTAAGTTATCACAAACAATTGAATCTAGTCTAGATAGCTCTCAAAAGCAGCTGCAACAACATTTTCGGCAGCAGAAGCAGCGAGAGAATGTTTTTCAACAGTTTCAGCAGCAGTTGCAGCAACAGCAATCGCTGCAATATCAATCACATCAATCGTGTCATCAATCTTATGCGCAACCAGCAATACAACAACATCAACTGCCAACAGCACAAAATTCACCACCACAACTAGCAGCTACAGTAATTGCGTCAACTACAACAGCATCAACTACAACAACGTCAACAACTACACAGGTTACAACAGCAACAACAACATCAACAGCAACAAAAACTTCTGCAGCGTCATCATTAAGAGTTGCCAATCGGAGAAAAGTCATAATTACATCAAAGGCCAACTCCGGTTTAGCAACTACTTCTCAGTCGATGACGTCAACGACAGCAACAACAGCAACGTCGGCAGCGGCTGTGGTAGCAGTTCAGAATCTCTCAATTACATTAGGCACTGCTAAAACGTCAGTAGTAGCTGCAACGGCCACAACAAGAACATCGCGGGCGACAGCATTATCCACTAAAACAACGACCACGGCTTTGTCAGAAACATCAACGACAAATAAATCAACAACAACAACGACGACGAAATCAGTAACATCTACAACATCAACAACAACAAAAACATCTGCAACATCAACAACAACAAAAACACCTGCAACATCAACAACAACAAAAACATCTGTAACATCAACAATAACAGCAAAATCAGCAACAACAACACCTGGGACATCCCAACACTCCAAGTCATTAGAATCAGCAGCAACGACAAAATCAACAACAACATCTGGGAAAACCCAACTCTCCAAGCCGTTAGAATCAGTAACAGCAACTACAACAACAACAACAACAACTGTGATGGCGGCAACAACATCAGCACTAGCAGCAACATCTTCGTCACAAAAATCACATCATCAAAGTTATGTTGTCGTCAGTAGCAGTAATAACAAATACTACACCAGCCGCAATGACAGCAACTACACTACCAGCAACAACAACAACAACAGCAGACCAATCATCAGCTCATCATTCTACCTAGACAAAGGTGTCATTAGCAAGTACAAAATAAACAGATATAAACTCAACAACAACAACAATAATAATAATAATGTTAGTTCCAATAGCATTATTAATAAATATTATCTCAGTAAATTTTCAAAGAGAATACAAATCAACCAGACTGTGAGTTTTGATGATGATGATGATAATGGCTATGATGATGATGGCTATGATGATGATGGCTATGATGATGATGATGACGACGATGATGATGAAGGTTGTAGTGGTGATGATGATGATGTTGTAGTGGTGATGATGATGATGTTTTTTGCAATGGTGATGACGATGATGATGCTTGCTGTGTTGAAGTGTAATAATTATCATTATAATTAGAGGCTTTCAGCTTTTTTTTCATGGGCTTTTAATTAAACAGTAATTTTTTCATCATCATCATCATCACAACCACGATCATTTTTTCATCATCACAACCACGATCATCATCATCATCCGTGACGTATCGTAACAGTATCGTAACCATCATCACCACTATCAAAATTATCATCATTATCAACGCCATCGATACCATCATCAGCTTCCAGTAAAAAACCCTCTCATCATAATGATTGACGAAAATGATGATGACGACGACGACGATGATTGTTTCGGCGTTGAAAGTAGACAACAGCCACAACTACAACAACCACAACAGCAACCACAACAGCAACCACAACAACAACTACAACAACCACAACAACAACAGCCACAACCACAGCAACAACAACAACTCCTTGGAAAGAGATCCCATCCAAAAGATGGTGATGATGATGATGATAAAGAAACTGATGTCGAATTAGACTCAATGCTTAAGCAAGCTAGAATTGAGGTAATGATTGCGATGATGATGATGATGGTGGTGGTGATGGTGGTGGTGGTGATGATGGTGGTAATATGATGATGTGATAATATGATGATGTGATTAAATGATTGAATAGTTTTTGGATTTCTTAAATTTTAACCATCAATAGTAAACTGGTCAGGGTAAGAAATTTTTTTTCTCCCTCTCATATTTAGTCTCAAAAT